TTACAGCACTCTATCTCCAACACTCCAACTCTATTAACAACACTCTTGCTCTATCTCACACTCTGACTCTATCTGCAACACTTCCACTCCATACACAACGCTTTGTCTCTATCTGACTCTACATATAAAATAAAAGCAACTAAAAATCCTCAGACTTTTACATCAAGATAGAAACTCTGCGATAGAAACTTTCAGCGTTCTTTATTCGACTACACAGTGAATCGAACGACGTCTAAAATTAGACTCGAGTATCTACAAAGATTCTTCGCAACGCTTTTCAATGCCTCGTGTACGGAAAAAAGGGCAAAAACGAAAGAACAGAAGGAGGAGTAAAAAAAAAAAATCCCGCAAAAAATCACCCATTCGATTTAGCATCGGGCGCAAAATTAATGATCGTTTACGATTATTAATAGCGACGCGAGATGCCTCGACCGTCGTCGGCCGCGAATTTCGCACGATTATCGTCGAATGGAAATGGCGAAGCTGCTTGCGCGCGCGCGAGCGTGCGGCCCTTGTAATTGCCACGTAGTACCGTGGAGTGATAAATAATTTGCAAATATGCCGCGCAACGACAACATTGTACGTAGGGGGCGGACCTCGCGGCGTCGATAGTCCACCAAGGAGATTTATCGATTCGTTCGATTGCCGTTTTGCAAACGAACACCGACCTTCAGTCCCTTGCGCCCTTTTGTCTTGCTCCTTTTTCCAATCACACACACACGCACACAAATCTTCTTCTTCTATCTCGCCCCGTAGAAAACGCTCGCCGCAGTTGTCCTTTCAACCTCGAGTAGATTTATTGTCTCGGTTTGTCCGATGGATAATTGTTGTTTGAACTTCGTGTCGATTATGTTGATTACACAAGAACGAAGAATGGAAAGAGCGGCCAACGAGCTATCTCGTTCTTCCTCTCTTCTTTCTTTCTCCTTTTTTCACCGGTGAAATAAATCCTGGTGAAAGGACGTCGAGGGAGGAGAGATAACGGAGGGCTCAAGAGCACAGGATTAAGAAGAAGTTGGATGATGGAGGAGGGAAAAGAGAGAGAGCACTATTGACCCGTTTTGATTGATTAAAACGTCGAGCGAGTCGTAGTTGTTCAATCGCTAAATGAATTTCGTACGGCGTGCCAGCCGGGTATACAAAGCGGCGCTTTAAATCTTCGGGGCTTAATAATCAGTCTGAAGGCTCGTAACTCTTCGCCGCGGATCCTACGGTGGTTATGTACCCGGGAACGGC